ACTGCTCCAGCTAATCTGGGAAGCAAATAAAGAAACAAGACAAGCAGGGGAAAGTGCCCTCAAAGAGAAAGTATAGAAGAATCTTTCTTTGGGTCTCCAACACTCTGTAAGTAGCAGAATCAGGGAACCCTTCATGGAGAGACATCAAACTCATAGCACCTTTGAACACTGAACACTCAAAAAGACAGTCTGGGAAAGCAAGGCAATATCTTATCATTCTTAGAAAGAGTTGACTTGGACAAAAGTTTCTGCTTCTTCCTAGCCGTCATTCTTCACTAGAGTACATTCTTTCTTTTGGTTGGACAGTACTTCTAATTCATGTTTATCTACAATTTTTAATGGGAAATCCAAACTCCAAAGTTGGCTATTTGCTTCCGGATATCCACCTTTCTTCGCTACCCAGGATGCAGTTTGAAACAGCTTTTGTAAATAACCTTCTTTAGGAATATACAACAGATTTTGGAGACAAAAAAGGAGTCATAATGTACATGATCTATGTTCAATCTCACACGCATGATTTTCAACCATCTTTTATCATGTTGGTTAGCTCACTCAAAACATACTTTACTAGTTGGTATTTTGCACCTGCAAAAGTGAGTTGTAAGGCAACTTAGAAGAAGTTTCAATTTGTGTGGTAAAACATAATTTGTTTCGACAAAAGTTAGCTATTAGCAACAACAACTGATGCAGTAAGATATAGTTAACTCTTTGATCAAAGCATACAATTAAATTAGAACTTAGTCAGGTGGGGAGGGATTTAGGAAAACAAAAAAGGCTATTAACAATGACTCTTGCACTGTTTACAACTACCTGTGCAAGGTTTAGATCAGCTTCAACCGCAGCTCAGAGATCATCCCATCTCTAGTATCCAGGAAACTGATGTTTAGTTGACCAAAGATCAGTAACTGAAAGATCAGTTGGGAAAAACTGATTTATATTAACATAAAACTCGAGATAATATTTGAGAAACACGCAAAAGAAGAAGAAAATAACATAAATTGAGCTAGAGATGATGCTCAGATTTTGCCATTGATTTTCCATTTGTTTTTTATCAATTCTGGTATGTTTTTGTGCAAAACAATACCAAATCATATACAGTGTTTACATAATACATTTGACTAATGATATAAACCCCTTAAAGCAAGGAGCAAGTTACATGGATACAAGTAAAGCCAAATCATATATTTAGATGCAACATTTTACATCAATGAACATGAGAATTACGTTGAAAACCAAGCAAAGGAACTTCTTAGCAACTTGATGAAACTGAACTGGACATGATTAGGGCGTGTGAACAGTAACCTTGCTGCATTGTTCCATTTATCTTCAGCACATCAGTCTGCTTACTAATGTGAAATGGAAAATATGGCCCTTCTGAAGTTTTATAATCTCACTGATTTAAAATAAGTGGATCCTCACTAGAAAGGGATACACTTGGAGTATGCAAAGAGTATGCAAAGAGAAAGCGACAGCCTAAATGTTCCAAATATTACAGCAGGAAGTCAGGAACTCAAAAAATCGAACTAGCTCTAGTTAATTCATTCTGATTATATGCAGAACTCAAACTGAAGATTCATGTTTGTTCAATATTTTGCAGAAAATTCGTAACTTTTCATTTCATCAAAACTTAGGGGTTAGGACGAAGTGTTCTTAAAAAAAAAATGACGAAGGAATGAAACAAGTAAACATTGATAACCTTATTAATAACTGAATGAAGGTCTGTAATCGCTCCAATTCCTTTATTTTCAATGATTCAATTTTTTTTTATTTTTACTTTATATTTTTTTTACAAAAATGCAATTAAAA